TTATATCCGGGCGGCTGAGTCTGCAGCTATCGGGCTGTAGGCGTCGGTGGTCGCCTGCGCGGGGTACGCGATTGCCTCTGGCATGTTGCTCCAGCCCATGCGGCTTGTGAGTGATGCATTGGGGTGATGCGTGGAGTGGGGATGATGCACACCCGGCGTGCGTGACGGCGTATCAATTGGTTGACTGAGCAAGACCATGAGCAAGGATGCAGAATTGGATAAGATGGAACATGTCGTGCATCGAGGGACGCACAGGCGTGATAAATGGGCCATGGCATGCGAATCGTCCACTTGCCAGCCGGCGCAGCAGTCATGAGGGGTGAGATGAGCAGCTTCAAAAGGGCTGCTTCAAGGAATGCTGTCTACAGCGACCAGCGCACAGCTGGCGCCAGCGCTTGCACTGTTTTCAAGTCACCCACAGTGGAAAATGAGGTTGCGCCGCCAATAGGCTAAAATACGAGCAAAATGGCGTTTGCAGTGTCACATTCAGCTCAACAGCACCAGGAAGTCTAATGATACGTGGCTCTCACCCAAGTCCGTCTATGCTTGCCCATGTTCAGCCTTCTACTTCCTGTTGGATTTGAAAAAGTGATCTGACAGGTAGTAACCTGAGTCCTTCACCGTGCGCTCAAGCCCGGGGCTGGCAAAATCGACGTGCGTGATGCCGAAGCGCTCTGTGTAGCCCTGCAGCCACTCGAAGTTGTCCATGAAAGACCAGGCGTAGTAGGTTGAAATGCGGGCGCCGTCCTTGCGGGAGCGGCAGAGCTGGTTGAGGTAGTCCCTGCGGTTGGCAGTGCAATGCGATGCACACTGCTCAGGTCCCCTGCCTGGATGAAGGACTCTCAGCACCGAGGGCTGCACTGGTGGTGGTTTGAAGCCTAACAATTGCGCACAAGTCAAACAGCCAGCGAGGCGCTTGTCAGCATGCATGCCCTCCAATCAGTGCCCATATTGCCGTTCTCAGGTGCGTGCGCATGTCCCCGTGCATACTGTATGGCGCCACAACTCATCAGAACCCTGCGACCCCACGTGCCTGTAGAAGTTGAGGCGGAAAGTATCATGGATGGCTGCATCCTTGGTCATGGCCGCCTCCCCTGGGGCTGACACACCGTTCTCTGCGCAAGAGGGGAAGGCACATAACGGTACCAAAACACTCAGTGCATGAGTCAAGGGACATGGGCGCATGGGGCGCGGTGGTCGCCGACATGCGAGCCTAGGCCAAAGCCTTTCTAGCCATGCAACAGGTAGCCACACAATGGCTGGAGCAGGTTCCTGGTGCTGTGTAGGCCAGCCTAGGCTGATTCCTGGACGCGACCCAGCCAGGGATGCCGAGGTGCGGTGCTGAGGTCTAGAGATCTGCAAATGAATGGTCGACCCTGATTCAATTAGATGTGGCTGGACCTTGACTGCGCTCCAAGCCCCCTAAGCCCTGATCGTCGTTGCTCACCGGTGATCCTGATCTCAGGGCGGCCATACCGCTCGGTGACATACTGGGTGATCCTGCAGGGCACCCAGTATGGCAGGGGTTCGTCACCCAGTATGTCAGGGGTTCGTCACCCAGTATGTCAGGGGTAGGTCAGGGAGTTCATTGGGCGACAACGGATGGGAACCAGAAAGCAATGGCCGCGCGCCGCGCTGGCCCGAAATAATGGATTGCTCAGCCTGTTGTGCGCCTGTGGCTCATCACCCATTAACCCCCTCCGCGGCCCGCTAGGTGGTCGCAGCAGCGGCCGCGGAGTGGCACAGAAGGATTGAGAAGCCGCGCGCCCTCCAGGATTAATTGTGTACCCTCGGGGTGCGGGCAGCCTCGAACTCACTTGTACAGGCCCTCTGGGAAGACGCGCAGCCAGCTGGACTGCGCCAGGGGCCCGATGACCTCGCCCTTGCTGCGGGACCAAGCACGCACAATCAGGGGTGGGGCGCCAACATATGAGGAACCGCCGCAGTCACAAACGAGGAGGGACGTCAAATGCAGCAGCGCCCACCCCCACCGCGCTCCAGCCTTCCTGGGTGTGCTGCCCGGCCAGCCGCTGGACAGTCCGTCTGCCTTTTCCACTCTGCAAACCCCACTGGCCACACGCCCAGCTGCCGCCAAGGCCACGGCCCCCCCTGCAGCGAGCCTGCTCACCTGTTCCAAACGCTGGTCACGTAGCCCAGGGGGCTGCCGTTCGCCTTGACGTACTTCGAGGTGTAGTGGTTGATGCCAACAAAGTCAAGGGACCCCTTGACCAGGCGGCTCTCCTCCTTGGTGAAGCTGCGGGCCGCCTCTCCAAACTTCTGCTTGAGGATCTTGGGGTACCTGCATCAATCGGGATTTTCTGAATCTTCAGGGTTGATGCCTTTGAGGGTTTGGGGTTCTGGATCGCAGATCGACTCGCGGGATGCAGAGCCGTCTGCAGACGCAAGGACCGACAACGGTCTGCAATCGAGCGTTGGACACACTGGGGTGTGGGCCTCCATTTGTAGCGGGCCTCTGGTGGTGTGAAGGCGGGGATGCAGTGCGCTCGAAGCTAGGATGGCGATCGCCCAATGACGTCTCACTTTCCAAGGAACAAGGGGTCAGCAAAAAGGCCCAGCTGGATGTCAAGGTTGCGCTGCGCCGCCGTCTTGTCCTTGGCTGCCACACAGAGTTGGGTGGAGACAGGGGCTTGTTGGACGGGAGCATTCTCACACACACACGCGCGCGCAAGCGCATGGGGCCTCGGAGTGCTGTGAACCTGCGCCACACTGAAGATCTATTGATACATATGCCAAGCTCACGCCTTCTCCTGCCGCCCCAGTCGTGGCAGCCGCCCCCCTTGCCCGCAGCCCTGAGCTCACCAGAGTCTGTCATAGGTTCCGCCCACTCCACGTTCAGGGCGATGCCGACGTTGGAGCGCTGCGCACTGTACTTCCCTTTTTGCAGCTGCTTGGTGCGCGCGTGCGCCAGCAGGACGTGGTGGGCGCAGGAGTACAGCGCCTTGTGGCCGCCCTTGAACGCCGGCGCAAAATTGCCTTCAGGTGTTGATGCGTTTGAGGGTGGTGGCCATGGTGCGATGTGAGGCGGGTTGAGTGCCATCGGCGTGACCAGCAACACGGAAGATGATACAGCACGCCATGTGGTCGCGGGAAGCCACTGGGCCGTCCCGGCACGTGCGAGCGCAGCAACCTGTGTTGGGCACTCAACAGCCTGCGTGGCGCCCTCACCAAAGCCGTAGGAGGCATCGCAGGTCATCAGAGGCTCATTGAACGTCTGTGAAGTGGCAGGGTTTTGGATTCCATCATCGGCCCAGTGCTTCGGCTTCTTGCTATGCAAATGCAGTACCCAGCGCGCCAGCACAAATGAATCGATGCCCCTGCCATCTGGAATCCTCCCGCACCCATGCCAGCCCACTGCACACTCGGCCAACTGTCTGCCAAAACACCCACCATCCACTCCTTGACGCGGTCTCCAAAGTTCTGGAAGAGAACATCAGCGTAGGCCACAAAGTCTTCCACAAACTCGGGGCTGATGGGGCCTTGGTACTGTCAATTGGAGAGTGGCGCAGCGGCAGGGGAGGGTGCAATGAAAGGTTGTAATGTGAAGTGACGCCAGGTCAACTCAAGATGACAAAAGGGCCAGGCAACGCCAAGCCTGCGCCTAAGCCATTGTTCTGAATTCAATACGCTTTGCTCAGGGACAAAGTTGCCACCATGTGCACCGAGTGCCTGGTACCCAACTGGCAAGTGCAGCAGCCCACGGTTTGGCCAATTACCTATTACATGGTGATGATTTCCAAGCACACTGCCCCTCGCACCCTCACCTTGTCCTGCAGCACCTGAGGCAGGTCCCAATGGAACATTGTCGCAGCGGGGGTGACGCCTGCGCATGCGCCCGGGGC